GTCAGAGGGTGTATAGGCAGGTTTTATTCTATCTATTGAGACCGTTTGTTCTTTGCATTTCATGAGTAATTTGTAAATCTTGTCTCCTCTTTCCAGCACTATGAAGGGACCGGAGTACGCTGGTTGCAGTGAACCTTTTACAGAGTCATCCCTGACATAAACGTGAGTCGCATTTGGTAAGTCTTTAAAGATAAATACTTTTTTACTACCGTGACGTGTTCCAGGTGATGGTAAGGTGCGGAGATACGACGTGTTATTTTTGCACGCTGGCAGGGGTGACACGTTTTCGACCATTCACGACAGTCTCTCTTTACTCCTGGCCAAACGTAGTGTTCTGTTATCATCTTTGTTGTAGCTTTGACCCCAGGATGGCTCAGCGAATGTAAACTGTCAAAGACTTGCTTCCTTAAGTTTTGAGGTACGTAAGGCCTTTGATTTCCAGTTCCATCATCACAATATAGGTCTGTCTTCGTGCCAGGTATTGGTACCTTAACTAATCGAAGTGATGTCCCACCTTTCAGAATTTCTTTCAGTTCCGTATCCACGTCCTGCAATTTGGCTAAGGTAACTAGATTAACAGGCTGAGCTAATTCTTCCACTCTTGAAAGCGTATCAGCCACTATGTTATCTTTTCCAGAGATGTGTTGGATGTCGGTGGTGAACTGTGAAATAAAATCGAGATGACGATACTGGCGGGGTGAGCACTTATCTTTTCTGATGTGAAATCCATAACAGATTGGTTTGTGATCAGTAAAAACAGTAAGATGTCTTGCTTCAAGCATGTGTCTAAAGTATTTCACTGACTCCTATATAGCAAGGAGCTCGCTGTCGTATGGCGAGTATTTCTGTTGGGCTGGTTTCAATTTCTTAGAGAAGAATGCAAGTGGCTGCCATGATCCATTCTTTACTTGCTGCAAGGCGGCACCGATTGCCTTGTCTGAGGCGTCGGTTACCAAACCTAATCTTGCGTTCAGATCTGGATGTGCCAAGAATGCTGCTTGACAGAGGCTAGTTTTGCACTGCTCAAAAGCATGTAGGGATTCTCCCGATATATCCACGGAACGTGATCCTTTTACGGACCCCGTCAGCAAAGAGTTTAATGGTGCATGAATTTCGGCAGCTCCTTTGATAAATCGGCGATAAAAGTTTAGCATCCCTAGAAAACGCCGAAGTTCTCGTACGGTTTTCGGAGTGGGGAAGTCTTTGATGGCTTGAACCTTACTGTCCAAAGGCTTAACACTTTAGGTGATTTCTTTCTTACCAAATTCACATTTGCTCGTGACAACCATACCGAATTCCTGAAGTTATTCAAAGATTTGGCGAAGGTGGTCAAGATGGCTGTCTTCGTCCTGGGAAAATATTAGAAAATCATCCAGGTACGCGAAGCAAAAATCAAGTCCTCGTGTTATTTCGTCTACAAACCTTTGAAAGGTTTGGCTCGCATTTTTTAAGCCATAATTCATGTATGGAAATTCGAACATACCAAATGGTGTGGTGATGGCTGTCTTCGAAATATCATCTGGGTTGACTGGTATCTGGTTGTACGCTTTCACCAAGTCTAGCGTAGAAAAAATTGTACAACCCGATATGTAATGGGTGAAGTCTTGTAAGTACCTGGTGGGATATTTCTCTGGAATTGTCTGTGCATTCAACATTCTCTAATCGCCACATGGCCGCCATCTGTTATCTTTCTTTGGTACAAGATGGAGCGTTGAAGACCACGGGCTCTCAGATGGACGTGCTATTCCACTCTATATCATTGCCTCTAATTCTTGCTTCGCTATTTTCAGTTTTTCTGGTGATAATCTTCTCGGATTGCAAGACACAGGTGGTCCTGGCTTAGTACGAATGAAGTGGACGGTACTATGCTTAGGAGCTTGCGGTACACCTGATGGTCGGGTAATCTCCGGAAAGTCACGTAGTAATTCAACATACTTTGAATTACCTCTCATGGTTTTAACAGAAGCTATCACATTAGCTGTAGCAGGCTCAGCAGGTGTTTGCAACGAAGTACTATTATCTATTAACCGACGGTTACGACAGTCGACAACGATATGGTAGAATGATAAGAAATCAATTCCGATGATTGCTTTGTGTACATCGGCTACTACAAAGCGCCATGAAAAATCTCGTCGAAGTCCCAGATTTAGTTCGAGATGAGCATAGCCGTAGGTGGGTATGGGAGTTCCAAAAAGTTCGTAAGATGTTCGAGGTCGTCGTTGTTTAAGTGCCGTGCGCGGGAAGACACAAAGGTCGCTTCCAGTGTCGACCAAGAATTGCATCTTCGTTCTGCGATCCGTGACAAACAGGCGACCGGATGAACTGAGGCAATCATTTGTCTTCACTAACGACTGCCCTGATCGTTTCCCTGTTGCTAATCACAAGGCTTAACGCACTTTTTAGCCTTATTGCCGAATTTATAATGATAGTAGCTAAAATGGAAACCTTCTATAATTTGACTGAGACCGATTACGAGTATGACTGTGACTATGGTTGCGGTCTCGTTTGTTGTCTCTATTTTGCGACCGTGATTTCCTTTGATTTCGGAAGGATAATGCTTGCACTTGACGAGTAAGTTCCGCGATCTGTTTCGACATTGTGTCAAGTAAAGATCCTGGTGCTGCATCCATTGAAGCTACGTGTGGAGATGCCGGAACAAGTTAGTGCACCTTATCGGCTAAGGCAGGCAGTGCTTCCAAAGTTGAGTCAGGCTGTGATGCAATTATGGTTTGCAAATTGTTTGGGAGGCGACTAGTCCATATTGTCCTGATAAAGTCATCTGGGACGTTAGGGCCCGCTAAATGTTGCAAATGTCGTAAAATATTGTGACGGACGCCTATCTCCAAGTTCCTCATGCATTAACTATTGCTTCACTTCTTTTTCTCGAGATGCTGAGAGCCTCTTGATAAGTTCTGTTTTAAGTTTCTCGTGTTTATCTTTTTGAGGTGGTGAAACTATAATGTCTTTGACTTCTGCCGCATATCTATGGTCTAATTGTGCAATTACATAATAATATTTTGTTTCGTCTTCTTTAATACCGGATAGTGCAAAATTCCCTTCTACTTGTGCGAACCACACAGCAGGCTCTTTAGCCCAAAACGGTGGCAGTCGGACACCGACACGATATAGATTTTACGGTTACGCGCCTAAGCTCGGCACACCTATCTCTATATGTCTAGCAGTTCCAGTATTAGTCACCGAAGTACACCATGAGGTCTCTCTATCAAGTCCAGAGGTAAGATCTCATCATAACTAACAAAACGAGCACAAACTCGGCACACTTAGTTCTACTAGTCCAGAAGTTCCAGTAGCAATCACTGAAGTACACTATAAGGTCTCTCCATCAAGTCCGGAGGTAAGGTTTCATCATAACTAACAAATCGAGCTTAAGCTCGGCACACCTAGTTCTACTCGTCGAGGAGTTTCAGTAGCAGTCACTGAAGTACACCATCAGGTCTCTCCATCAAGCCCGGAGGTAAGGTCTCATCATAACTATTAAATCGAACCCAAACTCGGCACACCTAGTTCTACTCGTCGAGGAATTCCAGTAGCAGTCACTAAAGTACACCTTCAGGTTACTCCATCAAGTCCGGAGATAAGGTCTCATCATAACTAACAAAACGTACCAATTTCGGCACACCTTATTCTACTCGTCCAGGAGTTCTAGCAGCACTCACCGAAGTTCACTTTCAGGTCATACAGGTAGGTACTCGAATTTCGTATCTAAGTATATTTTTGTAGGTATAGGAAATGAAAAAAAAATCAATCTTTCAAAGTATCAAAATGTTTTACTTGATTACGATTCCGCAGCTAACTGTGCGTGCACTTGTGTTTTTGTAACCCGTGTCGATGTAATAGTTCGATTCTCTACCTATCAATTCTTCAAACGCGGCCTTAAAATTAAGACTTATTTATTTATTTATTAGTTTATCTATATTTATATAAGTATGACATTTTTTTAAATAAATATTGTAATTTAATTGTTGTTGATGTATAATAGAATTAATGGAATGCTATAAAGTTTTGTGTATCTGATTTCAGGCAATAGATATTTTGTGAAATTAAATATATTTTGCTCAATATTTATGTACTTGAACCTAAACATGTTTTCAGCTTTATACTTACATATTATTTGTGACGTCTATGTAATATAGAAAATGATTGAAGAGTTTTAGGGCTATAAGGAGTGTTCCCTTTAAAGCTGAACATAAAAGTGAATGTATATGTATAACATTATGTTATTCATATTTACGGACACAACTACTTATCACAATAACAATTATTATTGAACGATGGGAACATATAACAATATATATATATATAATGGGAAAATATTATTGTATTCGCTGATATCCCTAAAGTTTCCATAATCTTACGAAATCAAAAAGTACACGTTTGTTATGACTTTAAGCTTTCGGACCGTAAGTAACCACTGTTTTCCCTACAAGATAGCCAATGTGACGACTGATATTACCCCATTGACAGCCATCATGATTTTTAGTATAAGTTTAACTGACAGTATGGGAAGAATTATAAGTAAAAACTGATAACAAAACTTGACAAAAATGATTTTCACGCAAGTGTTTGCTTTTGCTTTTAAACACTTAATAAAGATTTACGATGAACTATTTGCCTAGCTTTGTACATATTTTCCCAATTTTAGATTTATTCTTAAAAGCCGTTATATGACAACCCAAAATCTAGTTGTCAAATAATTTTTACTGTACATGGTATAACGTAGTGATTATATCACAGAGTACTTTTTATATATTAAAAGATTATATTCTCTTTGATATTATGTTTATTTATTTTTTATTCTGCTGTGTAAAAAATCACTTCCTGTGATTACTTCCTAAATAGCTTGCTGCATACACAGAGTACATTATATATTTATATTTATCTATACCAAAAATTTTAAAATATGTCACTATTATTGTTTTTACAATGTTAAATTTATGCTCATTAGTCATTACTCAAAAATATGAAAGTGTGTCGATTAAATGGCAATGAAACGCGATTCTGATGATATAAATAATCTTGGCTTAAAAGTTGAAGGTGATTTGGGCGACTTACAAATTATCGAGGAAGTAAGTGACGATGATACCGAGTCGTGTGATAAAGAAAAAGTTTCAAGGGCACTTAGTACCTTATCTAATCCTGCCGTGGATTCCATAGTAAAGCCTTCAACCGTACCAGTATTTGGTACCGTAGAAGTAACGAACTCTGAAAATGTGCAGTTTGGAAACAACACTTATTTTTATGGCCCTGTCACAGTCATTCAAACTAAAACTGGAACGGAGAATGCTTCCTATACTAAGACAGAGGAAGAAAGTATGCCAAGTAATCAATTTCAGCCAAAACCTAAATTTGATGCTCGTAAGTTTCGAATTTAATTTTCTTCTGGTAAAAAGTATGGTAATTATAAATAATGATGTTTCACAGCATTGAAATATTAAGTAATGTAATTTTGATATTTTAACTAATCTATCTATCTACATATAAATTATATGATAGAGGTTTCCATTGTGTGTGCATCACGGAAAAACTACTGGATAGATTTCAATTAGGTCTTTCAAAGTATTATTTCTTAGACACTTGGCCCTTAGTTAAAAAATATTATTTCATTATTTTCATTTAATATAAAGTTGTTAAAGTTTTAAGAAAAATATTTTTATAAGCACTATGTGTTCAGTGATGTGTGTAAGCAATGTGGACAAAGTTGCGGGTATTAGCTAGTATTGAATAAAAATCATTCTATTCTATTCTAACTACTTGATAAGCTAAAACAACATATTATAGTAAAATCTTACACAAATTTTTAGTCATAGTGCTATTTGGAAAGGTAAACTACTGACTTATACATTTTATAAAATGTTTTAATATGGATGGAGGAAAGAGTTTTTAGAAAAAAGAGGCTATCTTTTTTGTACTGAGTCAGTACAATGTCCCACTTTAAATGAAGTGTTTGTATTATTGTTGATTTTGCATTGTCGTACCTTACAAAATGTGATTGATGTAAACTTAAAACGTAAACTTATCGCTTGTTGTTAAAGTAATATAGAAGTTATTGACAATGGATATATGATAATTCATCAAGATGTTTAATTTCGATGGTAACAATTTAGTGCTGCAAATTGTTTGTAAAAACATCATTTAGTAAATAAAAAATAAAAACATTTAAAAATTGTAAAGAATATAGGTATTTTGTAAAATAAAAAAAAATTGTGAGTCGTCACAGTATGCCTGGCAGATGAGAAACATCGAAATTATTTTGTACAGGTAATATATAAAAGGATAGTTTACGACAGGAAATAAATTTGGAATAATGAAAAATAAAATATTAAGAATTATTTCAAGAAAAATATGACTGTTTATTTAACAAATAATTTATATTCATTAAATACAAAAATTAAAAATTCTCATGAAAGAATTACTATCAATATAAAATGTTTAAATATAAATTCCAGTGTGATTAGAAAATTTTTTTGATGTTCGTGTTAAACAAAAGTAGGAATAACATTTTTGTGCCACTTGCTATCAGCTTGATTTTGAAATACAATTTTGTCAGTCTTTATTAAATTTATTTTTCAAGCAATTATTTTAGTGCATTTTTTTCAATAACAATGAAATTAATATTAATTAATTATTGATTTAACAATATTATATACAATGAAAATTGTGTAAAGTGTCTTAATAATAAATATCTGTTTTTATTTTTTTGTTTTAACTTTTTTAATGAATGATATATGTCTAATACATATGTCAAAAGTCGGACCAATCCGCTGCTATAGATGTTTCACATCAATAATGTTATCTCTTTCTTTGATGTAAATGTTCATTGAATAAAAAGATGTGCTGTTGAAGTGTGCACCTCATTTTCTTTTACTCTCACCTTACACATGTAACAAGTAAAGAATAAAATAAAACATTATATAAAAGCAAAAAATTAAAAATTTGAAGAGGTACATGTTAAAAATATTGAGCTCCTCTTATATTATTTGTTTTGTCATGTAAGAGATAATATTATCCTGTAATAATATTGCAATCTAGACCTATGTCCAAGTTGAGAAAAAGTTTGTGGCCAAGTAGCCTAAATTCAACCAATTTGTTTTTCTGTAAAGCATTCAAACATAGCCTCTGTTTCCCTCATAAAGAGATTTGGTAATAGCGACGGCGGCAGTGAATGTGGCAATGGTGACGTATTTTACCATAGCAGTGAATATGTCAGACAGATACCTTGCCTTTACAGTGTAAAAGAACTGATGACCCGATTGTCTGTTTGCAGCCTTTAATAGATTCCAGTATGCCAATTTTATATGCTAAAAGTAAAATATCTATGAGGAGCAGTGCCAATGGTGTAAAACATTATTCAATGAAATCGAAATGACAAATGAATTTACGGCCCTCACCTGATGGTGAACCATGACAGTAGCCCATAATCACCTGAAACGAACTTCAAACAAAGAAGGTTTTTCGTTATTTTCGTTATCACCTCTGAGGACTAAGATGGAATGCCTCACAGCTTGTAAGTATATGGATTAACTAAGCCGGAACTCTCTTAGATCAGGACCGTACACACACTGCTAGTGTGTACAACTGCTGGTGGCAGAAATAGGTGAGAACGTGATACCCGCCCAGACTGACTTCTAGGAGGGACTTGACTCACCCTAGACCTGGTATTGCAATTATGCATTCACATGCCACACACGGCGATTATAATAAATCTTTAATAAGGGATGATCTATGTCAGTGGTAGTGTTAACAGGCTGGTAAGAGTGAAGAATGCAATATTCAAGACATTTTGCATTCTTTTCAATTAGGTTAAGGGATAAGGGAAAGTTAGTTCATTTTAGTCTGTTCATTAAATGCATTTGCAAATATTACTCCATCAGATTGTTTTTAATTTAATGCTCATTATAATTATAGTATATATGTAGTAAGTACATAAGTTTGTTACTTAATGTGTGTATTTTAATTAATTTTGCAGCAATAAAAAAACATGAAATTTTAACATGGCACAAATGGACTTTGTCTGCACTGTGTGTTGTTGTGATCGGTGGCATTTGTGCACTTATAATAGTATTGAGAGCTAAGACTGAAGAGAGTTATAGTACATCGCCTGCGTTAAGTTCGATGCAAACATCAGGTCAGATCCGTGAGTTTAAACCCATTTTTAAATTCTTACATCTACAAATATTTGGTTTTATTATTGTTATATGTAATTTGTATAGTTTGTTAGACAAAAAGGGATGAAAGAAAAACATTGATACACATGTAAAAAAAATAATTATTGGTATGCTGTCATCGAATGAGAATTTAGAGATAGTTTTTATTGTTAAATTTTCTAATATGGAAGTTGATTATGTACTTATGACTACTATCATGATTTCAAAAAAAATACATTATTATAAAATAAATCAATATTTTCATTTTACCGATTTTTAACAAAACTTTTTACTTAAGTATTCAGTATTAGGCTGAATAGTACCTAAATATTCAGTATTCAATCGAATAGGAATAGGATAAAAGTACCGAACAATAACCAGATATTCCTTGCACGTCTATACACGGGCAATAATCAACAATAGTAAGACTGAGTTTTTAAAATAAAACATGTATTTGGAATGTTTAACGATCAAAAGTGAAAATGAAAACTAAGCTTCAGCAGTCTGGTTGCTGCCGTTTATAATTTTCAGAAGATAAAATAAATATTATTTAGTAATAACTGATTGCTATTTGATAAATAATTTCATCATCATCATTACAGCCCTTCACAAGTCCACTGCTGGACATAGCCCTCCCCTAATGGAATGCCACAAAGCATGGTGATGAGTCACCTGCATCCATCGACCTCCTCATTGCATTGCATGTCTCACCAGGTCCTCACTCCATCTAGTGGAGGGTCGGCCTACACTTCGACCTTGAGAGTCCTCATATGGCCAGCAGTGAAGGACCATGTCTCAGATCCATATTTCATCACTAGCAAAACGCACTGGTTATACAATCTTGTTTTCAGGTTTTGAGGTATACCTGACGTGAAGATGTGTCGTAATTTCCCGAACGCTGCCCAGCCGATTTGAATCCGTCGATTGACCTCTTGGTCGAAGTTGGACTTACCTAGTCGGACTATATGTCCCAGGTACTTGTCAACAACTTCAAGCTTAGTGCTCCCAACAACTACTGGCATAGGTGTGGACATTAGCCGCTATCTTTGTTTTGTCCATGTTTATCTTAAGACCTATCCGTTGGGAAACACTATTGAGGTCATTGAGCATAATGCTTAGGTCCTCCAGCGATTCTGCCATAAGGACTATATCGTCGGCAAATCGAAGGTGAATGATATACTCACCATTGATGTTAATACCATATCTTTTCCAGTCCAGTATGTTGACTGTTGACTGTAAGTGTATACTTGGACTTCTGTACAATTCGCCGAAGGGTATGTATGTGGTAGACGCGGCTCAGAAGGGAAATGTGTCTGTAGTTCTTCAAGACAGCGTTGTCGCCTTTCTTGAAGAACAAGACCACCTCACTTCTGCTCCACGCCTCCGGAGTAGTGCCAACACGGAGGACGAAATTAAAGAGCTTCTGAAGGACTTCAAGTACCGGTTTTCCACCCGCTTTCAGAAGCTCCGCTGTGATTCGATCCTCGCCCGGGGACTTGTCGTTTTTAAGGTGCTGGAGAGCCATTCTAATCTCGCTCTGACTGACGTCCGGAATAGTGTCGGATAAGACTCGCTCTTGGATTGTTACTCACAATGGCGTGTGGCTTCAACGATGACGTGTACAGCTGCCCATAGAACCTCTCAATCGCACTAAAAATCTCAGATGTTCCGGAAACAATGCTGCCACACTCAGTCTTCAGCTTTGATTGTTGGCTCTTTTTGGCAGACAAATTTCTGGCAAAGACTTTGGATCCTGGGTCCGCTCACTTCTTTAATGCGAGCTGTATTGAAATTGGCGTAAGTCTCGCCGCATGCATTTGAATATTTATCTGTTCAGTTGCCTGTATGCTGTCAAATCTGTTGAAGACTGAAGGTTCATTTCCCGTCTAACAGCCATGAGATTAAGAGTGTGCTAGGAGAGTTCTTGTGTTCTTCTGCTGCGGATCTTGTAGAACTTAGCTCAGACCGCATGGAGAGTTTACACTAGCTTGTCATTCATATCGTCCACTGCATTGCAATCTTCTAGACACTTGAAACGGTTTTGTAACTCGAGCTGAAAGGTTTCGGGACTTAGGATTGGAGCATGAGGGGGACGGAGCGTTAACTTCATTTGACGAGACCTCTCTAACTTAACGTTTAGGTTCAGAGTGCCTCTAACCATTCGACGACCGCTACCAGTTTTCACCCACGCGATCACTGAGACATCACTGAATAGTTGCCGTCTAGTCGTCATCATGAAGTCAATCTCATTTTTGTCGAACCGTAGAGGCTCGACTAGGTCCACTTCCTGTGGGGCCGCTTCTGGAAGAAAGAGTTCATCATAAATAGTCCCTCTTTCTCCATGAAGTCGCGCAGCTGCTGGCCTCTTGGATTCCGTTGCTCGATTCCAAATTGCCCTACGTTTTGCTCACCGTTCTCTCTTGTGCCTAGTTTTGCCTTGACGTTTCCCATTAACACCGTATAGTGGATTTTGGAGGAATGCATGGCTTTAGAGATATCCTCATACATTTCCTCAATCTCCTCATCGGGATGTGCCGAGGTTGGTGCGTAAAACTGTATGACCTTCAGCGAATACTCTTTGGTGATTCTGAGTATAAGGTACGCAACCCTCGCCGACACACTCCCAATCTTTACAACGTTGTTAACGACAGACTTGTGGACGATAAATCCTACACCTCCTTGGGACAGATGGTCGCCCTCCCGGTGATAGATATGGGGTAGTGGATATTCTTAACCGCCACTACATGACAAATATATTGTACATTAATTAACAAACTGTCACTTCGTGAGACAGGGCCTGCATACTACTACGCTTTTGTTGGTAAAAGCAGGACATTTTCACATATTTTTGGGACAGCAGGAACTATATATGTATGAAGAGTTATCATATTATTCTCATAATTGTTTATATAATTAAACTATAGATTTACACTTGTGAGAAAATAGGGAAGGTTTGAGCAAATTTATTTTTGAACATGACTTCCTTTTTACTTATTTTCGGAAGGTTATTCTATTTCTTAAATGGTGACTAATTTTTCACACATTATCGTATGGTGCTAATAATTTGCATTTAATGGTTTTTATATTTCCGCGATTACTACACGTAGAATAAAATTCATTTTACGTATTTTATTGAGTTAAATTTTAACTTTTTTTTTAATATTGGACTTTTCGGGCGCCTTACAGCAGCTAAGGTCACTGAGATGAATGACGTCCTGGTATCATAGTTAACGTAGGCTATCAAATTTTAAATATTGACATAAAAAGTTGAAATTAAACGCAATAACATCCATAAATTTAATTTTATTAAATTTTCATTAAAGTTCAAGGGTAATTAATTAAAAACTGTATTATTAACACTGTTTCAGTGAACATGACGGTGGTGGGGTTGCATTATGACAGTTTCACAATAATCGTCATATCTAGCATTTTGTTACATATAACACTATTGTTCATGTTTTGCTATTCATTACTAACACAGTTGGCCACTAATGTCCAAGGCATAGGGTATAAAATTAAGAGGATAAAAACAAATGAGACTGCTGAAGCACATGCCATGTGCATGTATGATACTGCTAAAGGTATGGTTATGATATTTTCTTGCACTTTAAATTCAGTATGTTTTCCCTGCATGTGCCTGTAAAAGTCAACTCAAGCCAAGCCTTCTCAGTTGTAGAGAAATTTAGTTATTATCGCTATATTTGTATACGATATAATGAAAAAATTATTTCACATTTTGGAGCATTTTTTATATTTTCTGGTTGTATATGCACCATAACACTATACATAAGTTTCCTTTTAATATGTTCAATGTACATTCTGTGGCATCACTCGCTTTGAACGGTTATCATTTATGATATTATGATTAATCCTACCATACTGTTAGTCATGTGGGGGATTAACAAAAACAATGTTTTTTTAGCGGACACACTGCTGATAGCGCCGGACCATCTAAGGATCGTTTCCCGCACGGATTGGCTCGCTCAACCAGTCGGTGGCGCACTAGATAAGATTGTGCAACCAGTACCTTGGGTGATCATAACCCACACTGCCACTGAAAGCTGTTCCACTCAGGTTAGGACCTTGTCAATTAACAAACTACGAATATAAGTTTGTATTTTGGTGTAAGTAGTTTATATTTTTATTAGAGTAGATTAGCTCATACACAAGTTAATTGAATGAACAAGCTGTAAGTTACTTAAGCTGAGAAATACTCAACGTTTTCCTTAGTGTTTAATACAAAGCAAAAAGTTGTTGTAGGTACTATAGTAGTTTCTACTATTATAAGTCATGTCTTGACTACTATGCGATGACACCTGATGGTTAGTGCTTAGCTCAGACTTAGCTTAATGAAATCCTATTCACTCTTTGAAGACATCTACATTATAATGAGATGGATAGACAGATGCTGGCAAATTATTCCACTCCTTTGCTGTATGCATTATGAACAGTGAAGCAAAGCAATGAACAAAGTGATGGAGACCAGTCGAGCGTCTGGTGAACTGATGATGAAGTGGAGAGGAAGGAAATAAGTCATGCAATTTATGCTACTTTGCGTCTGTGTGGTCGAGACTGGTTTGATTAGTTCTAACCATGTGTTGGCGTCACCAACTCTTAGCATGCTTTTCCATTAAGTCCAAAGCCGCCAGGTGGGATTTTGCACCAGCCCATACATGGCAGCAATACTACATGCACGACCGGGCAAGGACACTTAGGTGGAATTACGAGGGATTCCTCACAGCTGCCTCGGCCCTGGATTGAATGAACCGCCTAAAGTTAAAGTTCGAAGATACCTCAACCCTCAGCAACTGAAGTCGGTCTGCGTATTTTAATTATACATTTCTGAATGAAGAAGACAAGGTGAGATTTTTCGCGGGGAAGAGACATACATGCTTGTGTTTTAGCCGCGTTGAATCTCACGAGATTGGCACCGTCCCATTCAGAGATTGCCTACAGTGAGTGATATTCACATACTCAACCATAGCTTCTTTTTCGGACTGGATTGGATTCCTACTGGTCCGAACACCCAGCCTATATCTTTCCACGACTGTGCTGTCATATGCGTAGCTGTATTAACCAGGCATGACCTACTTCATTGATATGCAGTAGAAATAGAGTTGTGGAGAGAACGGACCTCTGAGGTACTCTGGCATTACTAGTCATAGGAAGAAGTCGGAAGAGCAGTTTCCAATAACGAATCATGTCTTGCTCATTATGTTGGTGTGCCAGATCCTGTCAAAGTTTTGCGTAACATCACAGAAAACAACGATTGCTTCTCCATTCGTCTCTAGTCTAACATAGTATTTTTTTATGGGATAAGGGTGACAAACAAGCACACAGTCCACCCGATGGTAAGTGGTTGCTGCGGCCCATAGACACCTACATCTATCCTCGATTACAAATCAAAATGCAGATGCGTTGTCACCCGTGAGGACTAAAATGGAATACCTCATTTCCAGTAAAGAGGGTCTCCTTTTCTCTACACTCAGCATACGAAATACAGCAGCGTTAAGCTGCTATTTTACGTTGATATTCTGTGAGAGCGTGGCCCTTGCCCGGTCGAGCCGACACATTCGTGCTACAACTATACTACTAATATAGCTGCAGCATGGCTCTACTACGTAAAAGTACGTAGTATGGCCTAGACTTAAATTTTGACATATTGAAGTTTGACTTTGAAAGTTAAGAATTATGTTAAGCTTTAATATTATCATGTAAAAAGATCATAAACTTACTAATCATTAACTAACTGTTTGTAAGTGAGAATATAGGTGTTTACAAGAAAAAATAAGTGAAGACTGACGTCATTCTTATTATGTTTCAGAGCCAGTGTGTTCTACGAGTGCGCCTGATACAAACATTCCACATAGAGTCGAGGGGGTGGTTTGATATTGGATACAATTTTATGGTCGGAGGCGACGGTTCCGTTTACTACGGCCGTGGCTGGGATTATATTGGGGCCCATACCAAAGGATACAACAGATACAGCATAGCAATTGCGTTTATAGGAACTTTTAACAGCGAACAACCATCGAAACAGCAAGTTGAAGCTTGCCAGAAAATAATTAAACAAGGCGTTATGTTAGGCAAGCTTAAGAAAGACTATAAACTATTCGCCCATAGACAACTCATGTCTACGTTGAGTCCGGGCGACAAAATATTCGATATTATAAAGGAGTGGCCGCACTTCGTTAAAAATATTACGGACCTTAATGAGCTCATTCCGAAAGACTACTGAATGTTATTTTTTAGTTATAATTTCTTTAAGTTTTTACCAAAAGCACGTAGGGCGGTTTGTTTTACATCTACATATTCACCATCTCTAATGTATACGTTAAAAATGGACTAGAGACTAGATCAAGAGACTCCAACTAGAGAAAGAGTTGTTTCAGAAAATATTTTGGCCTTAACCCATGTGAAAAAATTACAATTAAGTTAACCGGTGCTTTACCCACTTTTTAGCGTCATTTTATATTCAAACAATTTTATGCAGTAAAACAACGCATTGTATGAACGTTAAATATTTTACATACTTTTTTTTTCACTTTTATAATTTACTAGTCTTTGTACTTTTGCCACGACGTTGTACAGCCAATGACTACAAATCAAGAAATAAATTCTCCTTTAAAATAATTTACTAATTAACTCCCATACACTATGTTGATGCATCACGTTACGGAGTCTCTGAGATTTTGACGACAACTTAAGCCAGCTAATAGGTCATATGTTCACAAAATACACAAAATTGCATGACTTTGGCGTAACAAAATCAATTTTAAACTTTTATTGAAACTAGAAAATAGGAGGAACATCGGCCGACAATTTAGTTCCTGCCAAAATGCTACATAATTGTTATTATTCCATGCATGTCAAACCCACCCTTAATTACTTGTGCCTTATTATTGATAATTATTAAAAAGAAATAGGCGTTTTAGCTTTCTTCATTGTATATTATATTGTTGCGAGAATGTTGTATGTACTAGGTGCGTAATAAAAGAGAACAAAGCCGTGGAAAGTCAGAATGTGTCACAAAAGGCACGCATGGCAATTTACAATGCTTTGTTAGTCCCTACCTTAATGTATGGTAGTGAAAGTTGGGTGTAGTAGAAGAAGTGTGACAGTACAAGTGGTAAAATTAAAAATTTTATGCAACCGATTTCAATATAAATAAAATGAGAACATCATCAATGTAGTCGAAGTCAATTAAATACGCATTATTAAGGATAACTCTAAAACTACTGGTCAGATTTTGATCAAACTTATATGGGACCAACAGCTTTTAAATTAAAAAAAAGAATAGTCAAAATAGTTTCATCTAGAAAGTTCTGAACTAACACACTTAAAAAAAACAACAGTTGAATTGAGAATCTCCTCCTTTTTTGAAATGCGACCATAAAGTATATTAGGGGCGACACTGAACGATACGGTGAGATATTGTGTGATAAGAGAAAGTGTGTTTTGCGAAAAGTCATTGTTACTAGGGCTAAGAAAGAAATGCTTCGGTGGTTTGGACACGTAGCTATACAGTGTTAAAGAACCGACAACTGATGTCGAACAAAGGTCAGAGTCGAAGCTGTGTAATGTCAAGGGCCGTGTAGGGAGACTCCCCTACCTGACGGGTCACCTTGATAAGGCATATCAGAGTTATTGTATGCATTAGTTCACTGGCGTGCTTTGCGGTCTGGGGGAATTCCTATTATTATCAGTAAGCTTGCGATGGCCATTGATAATGATGATAAGTATCGATATAAATACACTGAAGCTAAAATAACTGTGATTAAGATTCAAATGTTATCTACATACCATTTTCACATTCAATATCTTGTAAACAGAACATAAATATACCGCTAAGTATTTCGTATTGCCTAAATTAATGTGTCGAAAAGCTAAAAGCGACAGCAAAGCCGCAATACAGCATTGCCGTGTGTGAGGAAAATTAAAAGTGCAATTCGAACGACCAATGGAGGATACATTAATATTTCATACCGTAAACGCGATGTTATCAACACTTGTCAATAAAACTTGATCTACGCATGCGTTACTGTATAACAGATTTGTGTCGAATTAGATACATAATTACTATTTTTGTTTGCGTGACAAATTTAATATTTTCATATCATTATTAGTTTGTATAAACATTGCCCATGAAGTGGTAATTTCTTGTATTTTTGTAAGTAAGCTCAATTTACGATAATTGTATATATTATATATTTGATAATAATATATTATATTGTAGATATAATATTATATTATTCTTGTTTAACCTTTCGTTTTTTTTGATAAACTTGTTTTCTATTAAATTGAGAGCTGTCAACGTTTATATTGTCGTTGTAGCAACGATGGTTCATATTGTTTTCTTGCTAAAATCTTGTTTTCGACGTTAATAGCTCTCACTGTATAATATGTAAAAAAAAATTAAGTACTATTTATTTATATAATATATAGAAATAAGTATAGTTTTATTGTATATGATCATATCTGTGATTGAATAGGAGATGAGGAAAATCATTTATTTTTGAATGTAAATTTCTATATTGGTATTTGCGATAATGTGAGCATGGTTATAGAAATAAAAGTTATAGACGAGATTTTTATATTTGGTGCAATTTTAGATATTTTTGCGTATTATGATCAATAAAGAAAAATAGACGGAGTGCCGCATACACTTCAAAATGACACAACGTGAATTTATTGTAAGATCATACCGTTTACGCACACATGTAATATATGTAATCATTTGCGACCTACATTATGGTTTTAGGTATATATGTTGGCCGCACAACGATGGACTTTTACGGGCAGTTAAAGAAAGAAGAAAGATGTGGTCGTCGAGAGTGAGTGTTTAGAAGGCGGGCACGGTTCGGCCTCAATTGAATTGTACTCCGCTGTAGCGCTCCGTCTTTCTTTCTTTGTTGGTCTGAGATAGCATATTAATATAAGATATTGTACGACAGTTTTATTCTTAGAATATTAAATAACACACTGTAACATTTTTTTTACATCTTAATATCTTTTAAAACGATCCTTCCGCACTTAACAGAATGTTGGTTTTAAACTTATTTATTTAGGTGTGTATAGCTTTTCTGATGATTATAGTTTTTAAAGGCCGTAAATTGATGCAGGAATGATGAAGTTATTACAAGTTTACTACACGCTTAATTCAAAATGCGGCGCCGCTGCCGCGCACGCCTTTAGCAATGACGTCCTCATTCAGCGCACGGTCCGTCAGAGATTGAACGCGAGGAAAACGAGTGGTTTTTACTGCGTTAAACCTCTGAGACAGCCGAAACAGTTCACCACTTGTGGTTAGTTTTATTCAATTTCTTAAAAAAAAAAAACTGTGACACTATTTGTAATGAATACAACTTATTTTCAAATTAAAATATTTTTCAAGTTCGTTTTTTATTAATATTAGGTGTGTGTCCAATTGTGAATCTAAATCATCCAGGCAACAACTGAAACGCACTCAAAAAAAAAATCATCAAAATCGTTCCAGTCGTATTCGAGTTTTAGCGAGACTAGCGGACACCAATTGAATTTTATAAACAGAATAATCCGCATAATATCCACTTAGAAGTATAAAAACTGAACAATTTTTATACAAATACCGAATTCCATACTGTATTTAAGGTAGGTATCAAGCAAGAAGTTCCCATACCAATGTAGCACATTTTATGATGATATTATATGATGATTTATTTTTTATTATAGACGAACACGTGAAAACTAAGACAGCGTGATTGAGTTTGTGCAGGTTAGACGAATAAGTGACCTAAGACTGAGTTGTTAAAAGGGCATAAGTGACTCGCGTCGAAAACTATGCTTTAGGGTATTTTCAAGAGCAGTATTGTAACGGTGTGAGCAGATTATTAGCAGAAAATTATGGCTTTAGAAAGATGAAGTCTTTATTTAGTGCTCTACAAAGCAGTCATAATTTTTAATGACGGTTTTTTAGAGCGAAAGCAATCCTTCCATATCGTTTCACGAAATTATGCGTCGGAATTATCTTCTATATCGAATACAACCATTATTTATAATAAGCTAAAATACTTTTTTTCTAACGTCATTATAACGGAATATGTAGTCTTGAAGTGCAAGACAGCCTAAATAATTCGATTTAATATTAAAAACAATACCATAAAAATCACTAAAACTATCCACCTCAATATCATTTTTTTCTTGTATTTAATTAAAACAGGTTAGTTTAATTTAATTTAATTAAAACAGGTTAATTATTTTATCAAAATAAAGGTAATGTTAAATATCCAAAAAAAAAATTTACTCGTTCTATTTAGTCAATTATTTTAAAAACACTATAAATCAGCGCGCGAAGACACCTTCCGACCCTCCGATTAGTACGCGCCGGGCCTCCGGGCCGTCCCAACCACAGACTACTTAGTGGATACGTCCCAACGGTAGGATGTATCACTTTTTCCCGTTAATGCTCGCGTTCATGTTGATGCATACCGATTTTTTTTTGGAGTTTATGGCCTGGTATCTAGACCTTTAGGCCAAGTCTTAAGTATTTTTATTCGGTTTATTGTAATTTCCCCACTCCTTCATAGTATACTGCTTCACAATATGTTGATGCGTCACATTGTGCAGTTCTTGGGAGATTTTGGCGGCAACTTGATCCAGCAGACAGCTGACAGTTGGCAATGGTATCTAAAGGTGTCTATGCAAACAAACAGCTTATCTTGAGAATCCATCACCATCAGAGCACTTGTTTCACTGTTTCCACTAATAGTTCACATGCGTAGACACTTAATACACAAAATCGCAACACTTTTACATATCAAAGTCCACTTCAAACCATTATTTAAACAATAATACAGGAGCAGCAAACCGCCGCCGGTCAATTTCCCGCCAAAACTCTGATGCACACCGATAGTGTAAACTAGGGTTGCCAGGTGTCCCGATTTGCACGGGACATCCGATTTTCAGGGGTCTGGTGACACGTTCCGATTCACCCTCGATCGGGACGCAAAATGGCCGATTTTTCACTAACCTCCTTAGTCTGTATTTCGATCGATAATTTTGAAAGCAAAACTGAATATATCTAAAGCTGATACTGTGACTGTTAGGTACTACATTAAAATATATTTTGCTTTGACAATTTCATATTTTCTCCCCAAATTCGGACTAAATATTCGACATCAAAGTTATAAACTTTGCGCGTAATGTGTTGGCAAGATACAGATATCAATAATGTTGACTCGTTTTTTTGTAGGTTCGGTT